GGGGATCGACCACGACGACGACGACGACGAGCGAAAGCGAGACCGAGAGCGACAGCGGGGCCACGAACGGTAGGAAGGGGGCCACGAAGAGCGACAGCGAGGCCACGAAGGGCATGTGTATGGGCCAGTGCATGGGGCCACGAAGGGCGCAAACGAGCGGGGGGCACGAAGGGCAGATAATGCGGGGCCACAGAGGGCAACGACGGGGCCACTGAGGGTAACAACGGGGCCACGTAGGACAGCGAGGGGGCCACGAAGGGCTGCAACGGGGCCACGAAGGGCGTGCATATGGGGCCACGACGGGCGCGAACGAGCGGGGGCCACGAAAGGCATACGTATATTTGGCCGCAGAGGGCAAGGACGGGGCCACTGAAGGCAGCAACGGGGCCACGAAAGGCAGCGAGGGGGCCACGAAGGAAAGCTGCGGGGCCACGAGGCGCATGCATCATATGGGGCCACGACGGGCGCGAACGAGCGGTGGCCACGAAGAGCATAGATGTATGGGGCCACGAAGGGCAGCGAAGGGGCCACGAAGAGCTGCAACGGGGCCACGCAGGGCAGCGAGCGGGCCACGAAGGGGTGCAACGGAGCCACGAAGGGCAGCGAGGGGGCCACGAAGTCGGGGCCACGAAGGGCAGCGAGAGGGCCACGAAGGGCTGCAACGGGGCCACGAAGAGCAGCGAGGGGGCCACCAATGGCTGCAACGGGGCCACAAAGGGCAGCGAGAGGGCCACGAAAAGCAACGGAGGGCAGCGAGGGGGCCACCAGTGACTGCAACGGGACCACGAAGGGCAGCGAGGGGGCCACGAAGGGCTGCAGCGGGGCCACGAAGGGCAGCGAGGGAGGCACGAAGGGCTGCAGAAGGGCAGCGAGGGGGCCACGAAGGACTGCAACGGGGCCACGAAGGGCAGCGAGATCCCGATTCCTAGATGAGCTGTGAGGAAGTCCTAAGCGTGAGCGCGACTCCTGGGTGTCTGAGTGTCGGGAGCGTGGCGCTTGGGTAAATTGCGAGGAGCTCCCACGCAAGAGCGCGATTCTTCAGTAAATTGCAAGCAAGTCCCCAGCGAGAGCGCGACTCCAGAGCGCCGAGAAAGCGATTCCTGAAAAAATTGTAAGGACGTCGCAAGCGAGAGTGCGATTATCAGGCGGGAGCGTTGTTGTTGTAATCCCGGGGCCAACAACCTACTTTGAGCCCCATGACTTTCCCTGATGAAAAAAACAGGGTGCGAGCACCGGGGGAAGCACTTCAGTTGAACAGACACTGTGGTCACCACAGGGGGATCAGCAATACTTATTCTTCAGTCTTGCAAGTTCACCAACACCAACACAAACACCAACACCAACACCAACACCAACACCAACACCAACACCAACCACAGCAGCAGCAACAACAACAACCACAACCACAACACTAGCAGCAGCAACAGCAACAGCAACAGCAACAGCAGCAACAACAACAGCAGCAACAACAGCAACAGCAACAACAGCAGCAGCAGCAGCAACAACAATCAGATTAAGACTGCTCGCACTTATCTGCTCGCGTGCCGTTCAACCCGTGTATTCCAAACCCTCGGTACCCGCCCCCTTCGTCTTCGATCGTACCCCCCTGGAGGTACATCTTCCTTACCTGCCGCGTGTAATTGGCGCAGCCCCTGCAACAGGGTAAGGGAGGACGGACGGATGGAAGGGGGAGGGAGAAGGATAGAGCACGGGATTAGCAGGAGGGGGGCTAGGAGCAGAAAACACGTGGCAGAACCAGACGGGCCCAGCGGGCGGGTCGGGAAGGTGGGCCCAAGCGGCCAGGTCGAGCAGGTGGGTTGCTGAAGCGTGAGTATTGCCTGAATCGAGAGGAGTGCTCGAGCGATGGTGCAATGCAGAAGGAGATCCTGAGAAAGGCCAAGGCGAGAGCGCGATTCATGAGTGTCGAGGGCGCGGCGTCTGAATAAATCGCGAGGAAGTCCCACGCGAGAGCGCGATTCCTATATCAAGTATGAAGAAGTATCGCGCGAGAGCGCGGATTTAAAAAACATGGCGAGGAAATATCAGGCGGGAGCCGCTGTTGTTGTAAGCCGGGGGCCAGGGGCACAGGTTGAGGACCAAGACTATCCATGATAAAAACAAGGTGCGAGCCCCGGGAGGAGCGCTTTAATTGTAAAACACCATGTGCGCTGAGCATGGGAGTCAACACCAACGATTACTCAAAAACATAAGCTCAACAACGACGACGACGACGACGACGACGACAACGACGACGACGACGACGACGACGGGTGACGACGACGGGTAACAAAGACGAGGCGGCAAACGCGACGACGACGACGACGACGACGACGGGTGACGAAGACGGGTGACGAAGACGAGGCGGCAAACGCGGACGACGACGACGAACGACGAACGACGAACGACGAACGACGACGACGACGACGACGACGACGACGACGACGATGACGATGACGCTCGCGACGGCGGCGGCGGCGGCGGCGGCGGGTGGCTGGCCGTCCTCGAGACGCGCCCTCTGCTCCCGGAGGTCGGCCGTGGGGTAGTCCGAGCGGTCTTCCCCGTTCGGGATCTCGCGGGGGGGGGGGGAGGGAGGGGAGGGGGGGGGCCGAGGGGGGGGCGCCGCAGGAGCGCCCGAGAGGAGAGCCACGAGGGCGGAGGAGGGGCGGGAGGGTGAGAGGAGGAGGGGCGGAGGAGGGGGAGCGGGGGGGCAGGGAGGAGGGAGGAGGGGGGGGGGAGGGAGGGAGGGGGGGGGAGGGAGGGGGGGAGGGGGGGGGGGGGGGGAGGGAGGTTGGTGTCTGGGGAGGCGAGTGCTGGAGGACCAGCAGGTCTAGTATCCAGTTTGGTCGCCCCGGGGGGGGGGGGGGGGGGCGCCCCGTCCCAGGGGGTCCGACACTCCTGGCGCATGCTCCACCTGCCACAGGAGTCCGAAGACATGGGCGTCGGGCAGACGAGGGGAGGGAAGGCAAGAAAAGCGACCCCCGCCCCCCACATGAGGGACTTTAGAACAACTCGACGGCAACGGCGTCGCTTACATGGCGCATACACTCACGCACACTCGCCAAACTTGCAGAACGCTGCCATATAGAATCAAGAGCTGTGGGGGCGCGGGCCGGCCTCGCACTGTTCAGCAGGGAGGGGGGTCGCGGGGCGGCGACGGAGACCCCCCGGCGCAGCGAAAGCCCGCGGCAGCACGGCCTGGGAGCAGCACCACTCCCGACGGGCCATCTCGCCACGAGCGACCCCGATCCCCCAACCCAGCCACCACGGAGCAGACACCTGCCGAGCCATGCGTCGCCGGCCATGGCCACTCCAGCCCGGCGCGGACCGCCCGAGGGGGCGCCCTGGACCGCAGCAGGCGCGGAGCAGGCGCGCACCTCCCCAGGGGGGGGGCGTTGGAGCTGATCCAGCCCGGTCTCGGCGTGGCCCCGCGCGAGAGGGATACCGCCATTCCCCCTGCTGCGGGGGACAGGAGGCCGGGATCCGGCCCCGAGGAGAGGAGGGCCTGGTCTCGGGAAGGACGGCGGGGGGCAGGAGAATGAGCGCTTCGCCGCGTCACCATGCCTGGCCCGCCAGGCCTCGCCTGTCCGCTACGAAAGGGGGCGCCTCAGGGAGGGAGGGAGGGAGGGAGGGAGGGAGCAGGAGGGGGGGGCGGAGGACGGGGGGGCGGCGGAGGAGGGACGGCAGGAGGAGGAGGAGGAGGAGGAGGAGGAGGAGAAGGGAAGGCAAGAGGAGGAGGAGGAGGAGGAGGAGGAGGAGGAGGAGGAGGAGGAGGAGGACCATCGCACGGCTTCGGAAGGGGTTCGACTTCGCTTACTGCGACTCGAGCGCCTGGGCTGCCTGGGTGGCAACCGCATCGATTGAAATCGGAGGCATGAAGACAATGGGACTCGTCTTAGAGGCCCGTGGATGTCTCCCCTCCTGGAGGCGCGCAGGGGCGCCTTCTGAAAAGTGTGACTTGAATTTCCTGAGACAACTCTTCTGGAGGCTCTTCACAGTACACTCTGAATAACTGCCGCACAGGTGACATGCAACAATAAAACTTTCATCAACACTGCTATCGTAAACAAATAACTTGTGCCCATTGGGCTGCATGCCTAGCTTAGCTAGTCTAGCAGCATTGCCTGGGCACCTTTCCTTTTCACGTGAAACCTTTACTTTGTCGGAGCGGCATCGCGAGTGGCAAACGCAGCAGAGCCAACGATTCTTCTGCCACGTCCAGACGTGCCCCACGCGAGCACGGGCGGCCCTGAGGGGACGGGGAGGGGGGGGAGCCGCCGCAGCACCAGAGCCCGAGGAGCCCCCAGGGTTAACTCCGCCTTGCCACACTGCCGCGATTGAGCCAGCTCCGACAGCAGGATTGGCGGCCTTCACAGGCCCCTCCAGGGCCTTTCCCCCAACCCTCGGCGCAATAGGAGGCCACAACGCGAGGGCCTTCGGCACAAACCGAAGGAACCTTCTGAGTCTCTGGTCGAGCTGCTGCTGGGCGTCACGCTCGTTGGCCGAGGGCTGGGGGAGGCGAGAGGCAGCTAATTTTGCAATTCTGTCAGCTGCGTCATTTCCCGAGGCGTGGCGCCACTCGTCTGAGTAGCGCTCGAGGGAATCTAAATCTTGATGGGCTTTGACTAGATCTGCTATCAATGTGTTCGGCTTGCTGTTGTGGCTGGCAAGCAGGAAATCGTCAATGAAAATGGTAGGCTGCACTCTGGGGTTCTGAGCCACCCAGATGTCGATGGGCGGCAAGCAGTACTGCTGCACAACAAAAGTGGCGGCCCAGCAGCCTGCAGCTATACCTCGCTCAGGACAACCTGCAGGTAAGGCTGAGGATCTCGTGGCTACAGTCCTGGGCGCCTGGTACTGGTTGCTAATGATAACTACCAGGGAATCCGAGAAATTGGCATCCTGAGCTCTATCCCTCCAGAGTTCCCTATCCACATATTCATAATAATTGGATAAATCCCAAAGAACAGCTGCAGAGAAAACTTTCTTTTCTCCCAAGAATTGCCCTTCTGCTTGCATTGCTTGCTCGAATACAACTTCCAAAACACCTTTACCAGCTTGATGAGCTAGATATCTACGAGGGTGAGCACGTTCCCAAGCACGAAACTCAAGCTGACGATGCTTGCCCCAAACTCTCCAAATACCAGGCATCATACCTATACCCCTGTAGCTAAGACCTGGGTTAGGACCTGGTTTGTGCTTTTCGATCAGAACCGTCACGATCGCTCTTATATGCGTCGGAAAGGCCCCTATCTTCTCGATGGACCTAAGGAGCCTACACACAATTACCAGCTGGGCGTCCTCGAGGAGGCTGAAGTGTCTGGGGTGGATCCCGTCCCAGGTCCTAGCTGTGGTACTACTGAATTTGCGACTGGCTTCGCGCAACTGATCTGCTGAAATGTCTGCAAGGTCTTCACCTCGCAGTTCTGCTTGAAGAAGGGCGGGCTCCTCAGGTCGAGCTCGCCACAGCTTACTTAAACGTTGCTGTTCCGCCTCCAACATATCAATCGGACGGCCAGACCAGCGGGCTTTAGCAGGGCTCCAGACTCTTGAGGGTTGCCAAGCCGTCAGTCTACTACTCCATCTGTGGGCCCACCCCGCACCTTTCCCCATGGCTTCAGTGACCCAAAGCTTCCAGGATTGACGGTCGTCGGTTCGGTCCCTGGCGATTTCACGGCCCAGAGCTTTTGAAATCTCCGAGTCCAGATCTTCGAAAACGGTGGCGATGAGCTCGAAATTGGGCTCGCTGTGGGTGGCATCCAAAAGCGTAGCCTGAATACACGTGCGTACACTGGTTCTTAAAGCTTCAAACTCTGCAACTACTTCCAAATCAGCCGGCGGTGAGGCGAGGTCGAGCTGAGCCTGATGGAGCTCCTCGAGGTCCTGTTCCTCCACTCCCCTCCTGATGTTGATAACTTTGTTCCGTAACCATCTAAAAGCAGCTGCTGCATTCCTCCAACTCCTCCTATCCTTGGCCTCGACAGCCTTGGCGGGGATCCATCTTATTGTTGGCACCTGAGCTCGGCGCCTCTTACTTTTGAGCGGCGTGTCGGTAACGATACTGAGCGTGGTGGACATGTCGTCCACTAGGTAGCCGTACGCCGCGTCCACGGCAGCTACTAAAGCATCAAGCGAAACTGGCTGAAGAGGAAAGCACTGCCCCGTGTCCCCAAACACAGCATACTGATCACGCTCCTCAAGAAGTCCCTCCAGACACTCCAGAGCCCCAAGACTTCGAGACCACGGTGGAACCATGTTGCGAGGACCCACAGGGGCGACCACTGGGATGAACTGAGGCTGCTCCAGAACGGGGATGAGATATGGGCCCCAATCACCATATCCAACACGACTGGCCTATGTGGGCTACTCGGGTAGTCAACTAGAACTTTAGGCTGCTTCAAGAAGTGCTCGAAACAGTACGACCCCATGAAATAATCTATAGTTGTCTTAGACTTCTTTGTGTACAAAGTGTGCGTGTCTGGAACGATCACCTGGGCCCCAGCCCTGGTCGGGAACTCCTTTTCGATCATTTTGGACGGGCACACGTTGAAATCACCTGCTAACAAGAGCGGCAAGAGTTGGTCGGAGGCGGCCTGCACAACACTGGTCAGCACTGTGAGGTTCTCCTCATTCAAGCCGACGGAGTCGGCCAGATACAGCGATCCTAAACAGAAAGGTTGGTGACCTGGAGCCTCAATGCTGACGACAGTAGCCCGAGACTTCTGGAAACCTTCAGGAAGAGGCAGCTTGGTAATTCCAAGATCTAGGCCAGAACGTACTAGTACTCCAGTACCCTGACACGGAAACCCCTTGGCACTCAAAACAGCTGGCGACAAAATTGCCAACCATCCCCTGTTAGCACACCACTCCGTTTCTTTGACCAGATCATATTCCCGAATACGCGTCTCCTGGCAACAGATAATCTGGATTTCCTTGGCCTCCTTGGAAACCATGAGCTTACGGACTCCAGACCAACTGCTACAATTGAACGTGCATATTCTGAGGTTGTTACCCATCCAACGTCTTAGTCTCACCCGAGCCTGTGCCGCCAGGTGCACTAGCGGCAAGACGGGCCTGGCGCTTGGCGAGGCGGTCCTGCGCCCCCTGGGCCTCCTCGCTGAGGCTCTGGATGCCCGTGGCGGTGGAGAGGACCAGGTGCTCGCCGTTCCCCGCGTGCTTGCGAATGACGCCACGGTGGCTGTCATCCTCCATGGCGGCTGCAGCAGGTCCAAGCCCTTCTCCAGGTCGATCAGGTGGAGTGGGCGTCTGGACTGCAACGGGCTGTGCTCCACCATCAGGCGCACCAGGTTGAAGCGCTTGCGGCGGCTGCTGCTGCTGCTGCTGCTGCTGGTGTTGCTGCCACTCCTGCTCCAGCTTCTTGTTGACCTCCTCGAGCTCCTGCTTGATGTGGGCTGGCAGGCCCTGCGGGAACCTGCTGTCCACAAAGTTGAGCAAGGTCGTGTCTTCCTTCTTGGCAGGGCCGTTGAGGCGCGCAGCCGCCTCCGCCACGGCTGCCTTCGCTGCCACGCTGTGCTGAGCCTCCAGCTGGGAGACCTCGGCGAGCAGCTCCTT